CCATTCAATTGATTGCTATTGAATTACACAAACATCTAGAATAGAACTACAAAAATCAATGAACTGACAGTTTCGAACATTTCATGAATTAATTCCACATGAAAAAAGCAAACAAAAATAACTGACTATTACTTGTGCACACGGCAAATTTTGTTGCAAAAAGATGCAACTCATAAAATAGTGACGGCAAAAAAAAACATTGCAGCACTAAATAAGAAAGAGAATGCTACAAAAAACCCAGAATGAAAAGAAAAATGTTGATCGTATTTTTTTTTCACCTTTTCTTTCCTTCTCGTCGAATTGAAGGAAGAAAAAACAAGACGGAGTTCGCCTTTTTTATAACATGAAACATGCTTACACCGTTGGTAATTTCTAAATAGAACAAATATTATATGTAAACTATTCTCAAAATAATGCAATTTATTTTATTCCAAATAGAATCATAATTGAATATGAAAAATTCTCGTATTCTGTGCACATTATACAAAAATGTTTTGCGCAGTCACTGTTGACATCAACATCTAGAAGCAATCAGTTCATGTTCTTCGAAAATTTTAATAATTTTATCACATCAAAAATTAAGAGTAAAAAACCATCGTGTATCACAGCCGACGTGAGATACGGTGTATGCTTACTCTTGTCGTTTTTTTTTAATAAAATGTCGCGACACTGAAAGAACGAGATATTTTTATCGTACGACTCCTCTCTATAATGTTTCTATCAACTTGTTGTAATTGCTATGCCTCTTACATCGTATAACCTTCCATTTAACTTTAAAATCAAAAGAAAGAAAAAGTAAATATCCAACTTATACTCTAAGTGAAAAAGTAAAAAGAAAAAAAAACAAAACACCTGAATTTTTGTCAGAAAATAAGCAGGCAACTTTATTATTTGTGAGTTTTTTTTCAAAAGAATTAAAACCATCATGTTGAAGAAATACGAAGGAAGAATTAAAAAACGACTTTGTACATAGGGTTTCAAGCATTTTAATATGGATATGATCAAACTAACATCAAGCGTTTAGTATATTGTCTTGTTAAACCTTCTCTTATCATCACTAATGTCAATGAAGGATCTGACCTAAATAAACTGCTTTAATAATAACATTTTTACAACATATTTCGCAACTCTACGATAACTGTTAAATCATTTTTCGTACGTAAAATACAGTCAATCAAAAGATAGATTCAATGTCTAGTCCATCTGAACTAGGAATATGTCAAGCAGAACGAAACTATACTACATTCTTGACTTATGGTCTATTGACGCCGTTATTTTCTAATGACCAGTCTAAAAGACATTTAAAGTTTCAAACAATGCGGACATTGTTGGCAATAAATACGATAAGTTGTACTGATCAAATCTACACTAATCTAAATAAAATATCATTTAGTTAAGCAGCTGTCGAAAGAGAGTTTTTGGTAGAAGGTTTTCTTTTGCAACATGTCTATTATCTGTGTCAATCATACGATAGTCCATTTTGATTTTTACACTTAATCTTTAATTTAATTTACTGATTGTTTAAAATATATTAACAAACATAATTATTTTAATAGGTTATCATTTAAAAAATTTATTGATCATTCATTGTAACAAAAATGAATAGGTCTGTTTTTCGAGATTTTTATTTTTTGATTATTTTGACTTGATAAGTGAATTATTTATTGATCGATTAAGAATATTTTTTCAATGTAGTCTTATTTGAATTTATTATTGCTTTAATATATTATGAATATCTGTTCTACCAATATAACAACAACGCTTAATGGATGATACTATTGAACAGTGAGTTTATCATGAAAGTAGATTTACATTATATTTCTAACAATGATCTATAGCCTTGTTAGATGGATGATTGCGATGATGCTAACAAAATATTGTAATTATCCATACTGCACTAGAGTTCGAAAGCGCTTTTTTTTTAGTCATTTACTGAGGGGTACTCAAAAGTAGTGGCGGAGGTACCTTATTTGCTTATAGAAGGCTTGAGAAAATTTTCCTTCTTTATGAGGTGATAGTGGAAATGAAGCTCTATTTTTCTATGCTATTCCATCTCTATTCAACTGGTATCATAATAGTACAATGTCGATAAGAACTCTTTTCGTGTAAAATTTCACTATCGTCTGATGCAAATTAACACGCTTTCTATCTCAATATCCAATCATTTCATACGTTGTATTAATAAACAAAATATACCACAAGACGCAGCGGAAAAAGCTCTATAATTTGTAATGAACAGTTTATTTTATATATGAAGTAAGAAAAAAAGGAATTTCTCTTCGCATGATTTTTTCAGAAAAGCGAAAACTAGTCGTCCAGAATTTTGTTCGTTTTTGGCGAGAAGTACACAATTAAAATAAGCTTTACTTTGTGGATTGTAGAATTTTTCACGCTGCATCTTGTGATGCATTTTGTTGTTGTTAAATAAAAGATATCAGGTGACAAAAGGATGAAATAAGAAAAAATCAATTCATCTTGTACCAAAATATATCATTTTCGAACTGCCGAAAATTGGTGGCTCAGAATTTTGTTTATTTTGAAAACAAAAAATGCAACTGTAAAATAAGTTGTTGTATGTAAATTGTAGAGCTTTCCACGCTGCATCTTGTGGTATACTTTGGTTTTCAATACAACGTATTAGTTGATTAAAATATTGAATCTGCCTCACCCATTCGTGAAGTTTTACACAAAAACAGTTCTTATCAACATTTTGCTATCATGATAACAGTTGAATAAAGATGAAATAGCATAGAAACCTAGAGCTTCATTTTCTCTATCACCTCATAAAGAAAGGAAATTTTCTCAAGCCTTCTATAAGAAAATAAGGTACCTCCGCCAATACTTTTGGGCACCCTTAAGTATAAATTTTTTTGTACAAACTAATAACATGGAACGATAGTTGGTCGTTGAAAAATACACGAAACAATCCAGTCTATAGAACAAAAAACAGCTTACACTGATTGAGTTATATTATTGTGTATCATATACTAAATATTGGTATTTTAATGTAAGTATCAGTTCATATCCATCTTAGTATTAATATGAGTTGATCTCAATTATCTTATTTTATATATTTCGTGTTCGACAGCAGCTATGTCTTTGTAAAATAGACGTTGTGTTGCATTGAATCGAGGAAATTATTTTTATAGTTCATTTTTCATTGATTCGGGTAATACGATGATTTTCCTAGAATGAGATTATATACGATTTCAGTTTTGCTTCATGTTTCTCTATGTATGATCCCATTGTTCCGTATATGATCAGGGAATTATACAATTATAATAATGAGCTATACGAACTGAAATAAATACGATCGAGTACGACACATTAAATTGTTTACGAATGTATGCAGATTCAGCATTCTTCGTCCTAGATGTCTGTCACAATCATTATTTCATTTTAATGATATTAAATAAAAAATATATAGACTATGTGAAAGTACAAAAAATTAATATAAGTCACTTATTTTTTGTAGATGAAGTAATATTTTTAAAACAAAAAGCATTATTATCAGTAGAAAGAGAAATCAATATTTCTCGCGGCACTTTGCAGTCGAAAAAAGCGATGTCACACCATGATTCGCGAATCTGCAATCAAAACTACAGAATAAAGTACAATAATATTTATTTTATTTTGGCCCTGATCTGTATATATCTTAAATATATATTGGTTCTATTATTCCACGCCTTTCTTAATGAATAGCAATTGAATATAATGTGTCTTCAATCTCATTGATTCTTAAATCAATAATAACGTTATCAGATATATTTCTAATAATATATTTTCGCTTATACTAATCTTTCTTTTTTTTTATTTTTATCAAGCTATGTTGTTTTTTCTCATTTTATTTCATTTATAAGAATATCTTTACATGGATTGCATCAAATTGATTGCATATGGTGTTTTACTTAGCACATTATCGTTCGTTTGTGAAACATTAAGTCCTGCTTCGTTAGGACTTATTGGTGATAGTGCTGATATAACACGGCCAACATCTGGAGGTACTGTTCTTGTTGGTGGTGGTCCTGATGTTGATGCAGCTATGCAATGGATGATCAATAAATCGGGTGGTGGTGATTTTGTAGTAATAAGAGCAAGTGGTACTAATGCATACAATAGTTATATATACGATTTAGGCTCAGTTAATTCAGTTGAAACTCTTCTAATTAATTCAACTACTTTAGCTAATGATCGTCAAGTTGAAACAACAATTCGTGGAGCTGAAGCAGTATTTATTGCTGGTGGTGATCAGGCTAATTATGTTAAATATTGGAAAGGTACTAAAGTAGAAGCTGCTCTTAATTATCTACGAAATATAAAACAAGTTCCAATTGGAGGTACATCAGCAGGATGTGCTATTCTTGGTGGAACTTATTTTTCAGCACTTTATGGCACAGTAACTTCCAGCGAAGCTCTTACCGATCCTTACAATCGATATGTTACTTTAGGTTACAATGATTTTCTTTCTCAACCTTATCTATCCAATGTTATCACCGACACTCATTTTAATAATCCGGATCGACGTGGTCGTCTCATTACATTTCTAGCACGTATGAATCAAGATTATGGAGTCGTAGGTCGTGGCATTGGCGTTGATGAATCAACAGCTGTATGTATAGAATCTGATGGTACAAGTAAAGTTTTCGGCTCTGGTATTGCATTTTTCTTGAGTCAAAATGGAGCTATGAACAAGCCAGAAACATGTGTTAGTGGTTCTCGTCTTGATTGGTATCGTAATCGACAAGCTATCACTGTATATAAAATTGACGGTAGCGAATCTGGCTCTGGAAGATTCGATTTGAAAACTTGGAGTCCACTTAGTGGTAGTGTACATCAATATTACTATGTCGATCGTGGTACTCTTGGTGTTTATTGGTAATAGAGAATAAAACACTTTTCTGATTGATAAAAAGAAATTCATTGAAAATAAAAACAATTTTTTTTCTTGTTCAATTTTATTTTATTTATCTTCATTAAAATGGACAAAGTAAAAGGTAAAATCAATGATGTCGATCATGTTCATCGCTATCCAAGTCATTAGGTCCGTTACTACCAGTTACATTATGTGGAATTTGTTCAAATTGTTGATGAACATCTTGAGCAATGTGTTGTCTTGTACGTGTAGCTGTTTCGTCTGCTAACTTTGCTACTTTTACACCATTAATAAAAGATGAGCAATTAGTATATAATAATGCTTGATTAGTAGGATCTTTTAGATATGCAACAAAATTTGGTGATTCAATTTGTAAAACAGAATTATATGTTGAATTTAATTGAAAATTATTGATAAGAGTTATAGTTTTAGCAAGATATGCTGCTTGTGTTGTACTATTCGCACAAATACTTGTTGGAGTAAGAAATGGCCGCATAAAACCGTAAAACCATGATTCTCTACGATTTTGATGAGCTAATGAAATGCAAATAGTCGCATAAATCTAAATAATATAATCAATAGTTTTAGAAGAATAGTTTAAACAAGAATATTTACTTACTAAAATGAGAGATAAGAATTTCGCCATGTTTAGTTATGATCATAAAGTAAATAGTTAAGATGATTCTACTTTTATAGTATTTTCATTCAATAACCCGAACAAAAAAAAGTTTGTACTTTTCGTTAATATGATGGAACATCTGCTTTAGCAATAATAATCAAGGTTAAATGTGTAATAATGTTTCTTTCTTTTGTGTAACAAAAACAATGTACCAGATGGTTTAATTGAAATAGTCATACGCAAAAAAATACATGGGTGTAATAGAAAAGAAATTTTTTGCGTCTTTATTTTAATAGATCGACTAGATGATTTTGTTTGAAAAAACTTTCTTCATATTATACACCAATACAGTCTCCTATATAGAAGATTCATAGGTGAAACCATTTAGAAGCTTTTCATAGTTCATTAAGGTCTACCTATAAGCAAATTATCAGCTCAAAACAATACGAATACTTGGTAATACTTTCTCATGAGTTATTTTATTGTCTCAGCATGAGTAAATAAACTTCAACACATCTTAACTCTATATTCTCGACTTTTATTTGAGTAAAAATAGAAACTACAACTATTGAAGAAGTCTATCTAAATAGTCTTGATTATGTTTTACTTCTGAATGTTTACACCCAAATATTAACCATGCTATATTAACAGCCTGTTTTGCATGATCAATAGCTTCTATATATTGATTAAGATGTTCATATGTTTTAGCTAGATTATAATGATTAACTGTCAATGCAAGACGATCCAATGGAAGGGATATTTGTCGAACCTCAAGTGCTTTTTGATAATGTACGTTTGCATTTAAATAATCTTTTAGTAAATAATACATCATACGAATTTTATTATAAATATCAGCTAGTACGAAATGTGTTGGTGAAAGAATGCCTTGTTGAATTTCAAGTCCTTTTTGAAAATGTGATATGGTTGTCACATAATCTTTTAATCGATAATGTGTTATATCAATATTAATGTGAATTAAAGCTAAATCAGAATGAATAGATGGAATAGGTTTTTGTCGAGTCTGAAGAACTTTGTCGTAGTATGAAAGTGCCATTGAATAAGTTCCTAAGATATCATACATAATTCCTATATTATTATAAACCATAGCAAGACTAGGATGATTTGTTGGAAGTTTTCTGTTGAATTTTAAGTGCTTTAAAATAATATGACAATGCCGTTGTACAATTATTCATCGATTGACAAATTGTACCAATATTATTATATATATTACTTAATTGAGAATGATTAGGTGTTAGAGTTATGGTTTCAATTTGTAATGCTTTTTGATAGAATGAACGTGCAATAGAATCATCTTTTAATGAACTATGTATTCCACTAATATTTTTATAAGTTATTTCTAGATCAGAATGTATATTAGGAAGTGTTTTTTGTTGAATAATTAAAGCTTCTTGATAGTAAGAAAGTGCAATTTGATATTCTCTCATTGAATCATAAATAAAACCCATATTGTTATATGTTGATGCTAATTAATTATGATTCCATAAAAGACGTTTCTTTTGAATATTGAGAGCTTGTCTATAATATATAAGTGCAGTTGAATAATCATCCATTGCATCATATACAAAACCTATATTATTATAAGTTTCATCAAATCTAGGATGATCTGATGGAACTAATTTTCGATAAATTTCAAGTGATATTTGATAATGTGTAAGTGCTATTTGATATTCTCCCATCGAATGATGTGTAGCATCCATATTATTGTAACTAATGCCTATACTAGGATGATTTAATGGAAGATTTTTTTTTCGAATTTCTATTGCTATTTGATAATAAGAAAGAGCTTTAGAGAAATCTCCCATTAAATGACAGACATTCGCTATACTGGTATCGATCGCCACTTGATCAGAATTGTGAGATCGTGCTTTTTCATAATAAGTAAGTGCAATGTCATAATTGTCTATTGATTTTTAGACCAAAGCGATATTACTATAAGTTTTGACCTGATCAGAATAAAAGATTGAAGATGGTTTTTTGATAAAATTCAATAGCTTGTTCATAATACTGAACAGTTTTTATTCGATCACCTTTATTTTCATAAATAGTTCCAAGTTGATTACATATTTGAGCATATGCTTTTGAATCATTGTTGGATATTTTTTCAGCTTTATCAAATTCATAAAGTTGAATCATCAGCCAATCTAATCGATGATATTCTGTTCCTCCACCAATTTCATTTCGTATATATTCCGTTAAACATTTCAATTGTTCATCATTATCATTAGTCATTGTTAATTTTACGTTCCAAAATCTATTATTAGTTTGATTTATTTCATCAATACGAAATATAGTATGCATAGAAAAGAAAATTTCTTTTTCATTATTGCCATGCAAACTTATATGATCTAATGAAGCAAATGAAACAGAAGATGTGCTTGTATTAATTTTAATTTCAAATAGAATTTGAACTAAATTCGAATCACTGCGAGAACTATTAGCAAATATTAGTGAAATTGATTTTTCAGTACTTGTTGATAAGAAATTATTAAATGAAAGAAGACCATTTTGATTTTGTTTTATTTTTTTCAAAATCGATATTTTGTCATATGTTGTCCACGATATACAATCATTTTACTTGAATGTTTAGTCATTGAATGTATTTTTTTGATTTGTTGATGAAAATCTTGAATAAAAAATCCCATTTTCATTATTATATCAATATCTTGTATTCTTAAAACTCGATTAAGTATTGAATAGATAAACAATTCTTTCGTATACCACCAAATAGGTGAATAATGTTCATATGTATGTTTAAATTCATTGATAGCATTTAATTGTATTTCGTTATTAGCATAGAAATTATGAACATAATCAATAAATTGTTCTTTTGCTGTTACATCATATTCGATTTCAATAAGAATTTCTTTTAGTAATTGTGTATACATAAATGAAGAATCGATTTCATTTTGATTCACAATAGAAAATTGTGGAAGAATAGTAATCGTGATGATATTATTTTCATACAATTGAAATGTTTTGTTGTAGTTGACAACAGATAGATGAGAAATCATTAAAAATATTTTGAATTTTTTCCCATTATTAATTGCATTTTTGATGTTTATTATGACAAAAAATAAAAATAGAATCAAGTTGATATATATCATGAATAAGTGATAGAAGATATTCAGCAAAATTATCATATAGAATATAGGAAATATTTTTTGATCATCAACATCCTTAAGCAAATCAATATTATCAAATGTCCAAACTGAATCTGTAAAACAGAATAATTATTTGATCCATTTATTGTCTTTAATTGTTTTCGAACAAAGCTACATGACAATAAAATTTTGAATAAAACTATTCTGATGATGTTGAGCCATCATATTGTTAGGTATAAACAATAATCTGTATAATGTACAAATTGATATTGCACTTTTTCGTTGTTTTTAGATAGTATTGTCATCATCAAAAGTGGTTACTTGACTTTTTCTTTCATAGAAAACGAGATAAGAACAAGCCAAATAATAAGTAAATATAGTCATAAATATCGAAATAAAATAAAGGACAAACTTGACGTATTCTCTTGGAAAGAAAGCTATTGTGTGAATCGCATCAAATTCGCTATAATCAACGGTATTATCTTGATGTTCGAATTTCTTTACATATATGAATTGTTTGCTCTTATTTTCTCTTCTTGCGTAATATCTTTCACTTTGCTAATGTATAGTATAATGATTCCGAATTGAGAATGGATACTTGCTTCTCTAACTCGAAGCTTCAAATATTGACTTTATTATACAACGAATTCATCAGAATAAAACATATAGGAAAATAAATTACCATCCTGATTGCATGTTCTTTCATTAATGCATTTTTGAGAGTATCATTGCCTGCCATATTGCTATCTAAAGACTGATCGATGTGAAGTATTTTGACTAGTCGACAAATATGTTTGGCATTCGGTCAAGTGGAAATAATTCTTTCTTCTAAAGCTCTACCAATTAAGACACATGAATATGTCTAGATGAACTTTACTAAATAATAAAATCATGCTATATACGAATATATATATCTATTATTATCAAATTTTATTCATATTAAATCAAGATTGTCATTTATGCACCCGATCAAATGAACTAAGATGTTTCTATTGAAAAAAAAAAGACGAAAGAGAATGAAAAATTTATTTGCATATATATTTTTTTTTAATTATGTTCTATTGAAACCATGTATTTATTGATGCACGGATTTCTTCGAGAATAAAAAAAGTACAAAAAAAAAAAATATTAATTTCTTTTCTCTTTTCTTTCTCTGTTCCCCAATTTCATGACAACTCTACAAACATAAATGACAATGAATATACAAAATAGTAACAACGAACATATGATAAAATTATCAACAAACAAACATGATGAAGTAAGATTAATCATCAAATTTTCAAATCGTATCTAATAAATACATATATTAAGATAAAGACTCCTCATTATCGTTTGTTTGTACCAGATGCTGAACTTCTTTCAATACCTGATGAAGAAGATGAAGCTGATATAGATGAAACGACAGAATATGAAAAACAAGAAAATATATTACCAATGCTATCACTACCTATTTTAACTATTGATACATCAATACCTATTCGACCAGGATCACATTTTTCACAAACTACTACATCAAGTTCAACGAAAAAGTCTCATTCTCGTTCATATAAATTTGTTCAATTAGAACAAGCTCTTATATCAGCAAATCTTTTAGAGAATTATCTAGATCAAATTAAATTTAATCATGATTATCGTGAATCATTACGTAAAAATAAATTTGAAGAATTTTTAAAAATATATTATAAAAAACTTCAAGATCATAATGAAAAAATTAGACAAGAATATCAGAGAAAAATATCACGAACATTTACTTTTGTTGATTTAGAAAAAAATTTTCTTGCACGTGATCCAGCACGTGATATTAAAATTGTATTTATTGATGATCCAATAACACCTTCAACACAAAAACTAACGTATGTTAAACAAATTTTATTCGAATTCTAGAAGTTTCATAATTCGTTTACTTTCAGACTTAGAAAAATCTAATTTTTAATAGATTTCGTAGTTTGAATTTTTTTTTTTACTAAGAAATACGAATACAAATCAGCAACTAACATTTCAATGATTTCTTCTTTTTTTTTTTATTGCCTATTATTCTAGAGATATTCATCCAAATTCATCATTACCAATTCAATCTAATGATGCTGTTATTGAAACATTTTATGAAAATCGACTTGATTATCTTCTTCGAAATCCATCTGAAGCTCGTGATGAAATAACTTTATTTGCTCGTCGAGTTGGTGAACTTCTTCATGAACGTTTACCACGTTTATCTCGTGTTCCACATCGAGTTGATATTGTTGATCAACGTGAATCAAAGGGAAATATTGATCAACGTACATTATTACAAATGAAACATAAACATAAATTAGCATTAATAGCACAACATCGTGAATTAGTAAAGAAAATGATGACACAAACAAGAAAAAATCAAATTAAAATGGAAAAATTATACATAAAAAATCCATTAAAATTGAATAATTCATCTTGTGTTCGAGAATTATTAGAACAAACAACTATAGAAGAACAATTAAAACGTCCTCATACAACAAAAAACTAACTGAAAATAAGATAATACCATTTTTATTATGTTTGATAGTTAAGTTTTTAAAAAAATATTTAACTTGAACTAATTATTACTGATCAATGTGCACAATCAACATTAATACACATATACTTCATATATTTTCTTTTGTTTTAACTGAGAAATTGATTACAACTATAAAAATAAAAACTTTTAATTTACTTTTACTCATTAAAACTAGAAAAAGAAAATAAAAATTTTGTTTATTTGCTAAGAAGTTATCTTGAATAGAGATGATTTATTAAAGCATCATTAGTATTCCAAAAAATAACGAATAAAGTCAATCATGCATTGAGTTATGACAGAAAAGAATTAAACTACCAGAGACTCTACAGCTTAGAAGCTATATTTAAATATTAAGAACATTTCAAAAGTAAAGAGTTTTTTATATATTAAGTTTGAACTTCCACAAGTATTTAACCTAGTAGTTACCATTATTCATACACAATAAATTCACAAGAAGGTACTAGTTAAAAAAAATCTTTTTTCTCATCATTTTTGATTAAAAAGTTATTTTTTTTTGATTATAATTAGTCATATATTGACGAGCGTCAAGTTTTCGGAACAGCGAAATGATCAACAAGAAATCTACACTACCAACAGTTTGGAATGATGAGTTAGCCACATAAAGTCCTAAAAATGAGAGGAGATTTTTAATTATCATGTTTATATGGAAAATATCTTAAAATTATTTTGTTATAGAATTACAAAAACAATGATCATCAGCGAGTAATTGGAAAATCAAAAGTCATCATTGAAACATTCAATAATATGTTCATAAATATGTTGTTGCCCTTTTTTTTGCATTAGAACGCATGATAATTATATCCTACTTATTTTATTCTACGTATTGAGATATTGAGTACAATAAATTTATTTAAGATTCTATGATGTTTTCTTATCACGAGGATGCGAATGAGAAGATTCATATTCATCCATTCATAACTCAATATGTACTCAATACCAGTCAAAAAAATAAAATTATATCTCGAGAGTAATGCTTCCTCGCCTTTTCTGGAACTTTTTTTTTAAAAACCTTTATGGTGGTTTTGAAGAGCGCAGAATTCTCTATAAGATGCACTGTATGAAAATTATACCCCAATCAGTTATCATATTGAAAAACGGCATAAAAACGAAAAAAGTTAGTGGAATAAAAGTGCGGCTTTTTAGAAAAGTTAATTTTTTTAAAATCAAGATTGGAATTTGAGAAATGACGGAAATAGAAGCAAAACAATGTAGAGGATTTTTTTTCATTTATCAGAGTCCCTCATATTTCAACGTCTATAATTTCATCAAATCAAGTGACAAAAGTCTAAAAATTTATTCAAAACTTCATTTTGATATGAAGAATCGATTGATATAAAAAGGTAAATCTTAATTTCAGCCATAAAATGAACTTGCTGACGAAAACTCTCTTAGATAAAGACTTTTCTTCGAAAGTAATAGTAAAAAATGTGGATTTTCATTGTATGAAATCAATATAACACGTAATACTTATGTTTAAAAATGACAGCTTTCGTATCAAGTTTATTCATATACAAATATGTTGATAGTTTATTGAATGTTTTCGATGATTTCAAACTCTTCCATGTCAATAGACTTTTCTCATTATGTTACATTCATTAGCTCAAGAAGACCTTTTAACTTGTGTTTAATTAATCATATCTTGCAAAAATGTTTTTCTTCTGTTTGTCATTTACATGATATATGGATTGAAGGATAGATTATTTCTTCAAATTAGAAGAAAAAATCCTTCAATATTTATATCTAACGGATGAATTCAAATAATAGGCAAACGCTTTAAACAATCATCATGTGGATGATTTGTATTATTTGTACCTTAATTAACATAAAGTAAGATTCTTTCTGTAGAATAGAAAAACATGAATTTCTCATTAATGATCGAAAATGAGCAATATATCTATATTTAAACAGCAGTGTCACATATCAAAGATTTTGGAGATGCTACCACGTCTCCCGCGGGAGATGCCGCATCTCGCGCGAGAGATGCGGGTGTGGGTGTGGGGGATGCGCATCTCTAAAGGAGATCTTACATCTCTAGTGGTGAATGACCACATCTCTCGAGTGTGGGTGTCGCGTCTCCAGCTGGAGACGCGGCATCTCCCACGGGAGATGTGGTGGCATCTCCAAAATCTTGGATATGTGACACTACTCTATTTAAAACAAAGAGTGGAAATTTCGATGATATTCAAACTATTGACAGCTCTTAAAAAATGAATGATGTATGCAATAATTCACAGGACGAAAAAAGAAGAAAAAAGTAAGAGACTTAAACGATGTACTTTTTCTTGCGTTTTAATACAAATTTTCATGGTTCATTTTTATTCTTTCGATGCATGAGTCTCACTATGATAAATCATATAAGATAGAAATATTTACTTTCTCTCTTGAATTCAATGATTAATATTTACTATACTTGAATTTATATGTGGGTAATTCAAAACTGATATGTCATATTGAACAAATGGAGAGTTCTTTTTGATTTTATTAGAATTCATATAATTCAAGTCTGTTTTTTTTTCTACACAAAAATCATAAATAATTTCTTTTTTTAACGATATTAAATTTTAGATAATGAATGACTCGAAAGTGGTTGATCATTCATGAAGTGAAATTAATATGCATCAATCGATATTCATACATATAACAGTTGTACATTTGTTCAGTCGTTGATTTCGTTCAAAAGTGATTAGTTTTCAATATATTTAACATTTACAGTCAAATTTGTTCTTAACTAAAAACATAATAAACTCATAAAATAACTAATAGCTTTTGTCCTATGTAGTCAAAATTTGTACATATGAAGTAAAATAACTCTGAAAATTGAATTACGGTTACAGCAAAATAATGGTTTTTAAATCAATTTTGATGTTTGTATGAAGTGTTTCAGCGAAAATATTTTCTTGTGAATGGATCAATTAATTAGATTTTATTACCGAAGAATATTTATCTTTCATATATTCGATAAAGTATATCAATTTACTGCTACGTATAACACAAAATCCAGTATGACAAATAATTGATAATGTAATTCGTTACCATAGCATTATCATGTTTTACAATCTACACGTCATGACAGAATCCTTTGTAAACATAAAATGGGGTGTGGGTGGGTGTCGGTGTGGGTGAAAGATATCAATACCCGCACCCACACCTATCCTGCTCATTTAAATGGAATAATTACACCATATGAATTTCAACAATCAATTGAAAATATTAATCGAACAATCTCTTCAAGAATATGTACAATCATTTTTGGTCTCATTTTTATTTTATGTTTAATTGGTGGAATCATATTATTTATTGTTGGAGGATTAGAATCTGGAAGCTCTCATGGACAAGGGTTTCCTGTATTAGTTGCTTTTGGAGTTGGAAGCATTATTTTTGGAATATGCTTTTACTCATTCGGATGTGTTATTATACGATCACGACGTACAGATCGAATGCGAAAAGCGGTTTCTATTGAATCAATGAAATATTCTACAAGATCATCGACACCATGCAGTTGGCGATTGCATACTTCCAGATTTTGGAGTAGAGGAAATAGAGGTGGTCGAACAAATATCACGTATCGCGTAAGTATTTATGTTTTGTTAGATATGACTAAAAATATAAAAAGAGTTTTACTTATCTTGATACGATTAGTGCGGATAGATCATCTGTTTGAAAAATTTACAAACAAAAACTCATGAATTTTTATTTTATTTGGTTTTGTTTTTATTTTCAGTTAATTATTGAAATTGGACATCCTATGGCTCCAGGAAGTGGAAATGTACCGTATCAATTCAATCAAATGGTACCTGAATCAACATCATATTTTCCACAACAAAACAATATGCCTTTTCCTCCACCATACTATGATCAATCTGCTGCAGGATTTTGCTCTCATTGTGGGGTGCCACGACAAAATATCACAGCAAAATTTTGTTCATCATGTGGTCAACTATTCAATATGTAATAAATTTTTTGAAAAACGAATGTTGAAATAATGCGTTACGTTTGTTGTCAAATATGCACAATATAGTGCCTCTTCTTCACTTATGTTTGAGATGTTTGGAAGTAGTTTTGCACTATCCTATATTTTAAACATTTTACTTAACTATATTTCATATACTTTCATTCTTTTTCCCGGTTCCGATGAAAATTAACCAATATTACTTTATTCCCTTGTGTAAAACGTTTCTTTTGAGTACTAGCAATGAGAATAATTTCATCATTATTGATCACAATTTTTGTACGTCTAGTACATCCATGATGTTTTCTAATAACTAATAAAAAGCGAGAATCTCTTTAGCTCGATAATTTTTTTCTACAATATCATGTTTCAATTTCTTGTACATTGAAGAATCTCCGTTTTTAAGGACTTAGTATTTGTAAGATATGTTAGATAATTTCTCTTGAAAATATTCTTAGATCATGTCTGAACAGATTGATGACGAACATTCAACCAAACACAGCTAAAGAAAAATTATTTTGAAAAAGTTATGAACACTTTCAAGATTAATCACATCAGATCAGAATAAAGTTATTTTAAGAAATCTTTCTGAAAAATCAAGACAAAAAAGGATGCATGTTAGTCATGAATATGTATATAGTGGTGTGCGAATGTTGAAGGGTGGGTGTGTGGGTGTGGGTGTGGGTGTGGGTGTGGGGTGTGGGTGTGAATAGAAGACTTCGACCCTCACCCACACCTACCCTCTAAACAATTCAATTATTTATATACGAAATATCCTGAGATAATAAAACGATATCGAGAAATTAAATATGAGGTAATAATTAAACAAATTACATCCACTGAAGTGTATGTCACTGCAAATTGGGATATACCAAATCCAATTTTAGATGAACATCTTTGGAGAAACACAACTTCAAATAAATTAGTAGGAAAGTAAACGTGAAGTATCGATGGCAACAATACATCGTGTTACACATCACATGGTAACTAACTAGTAGAGTACCACTAACTATCTCTATATTCATTTTCTCACCATTCTATGTATTTTACTCTTTTTTTTCTTTACTTTGATTCTTTTTTCTTTCGTCTATGTTTCATTTTTCTTTGGCTCTGCTTCTATCTTTGATCCTATCCATTGATCTACTCATGTGATGATATATGTGTACATGTGGCAGATGAATTTGGAATCTAGTTGAGATTAGAATAGCATTTTTCAGAATATAATTTATATCCATCAAGCTTCTGTCGAAGTGCAAACATTACAACAACTGAATTCAAATATGATTCTTGAATCGCAAAATATCACAGGAATTCATCAAATAGTTTCAATCAATGACAATTGCTGACATTATTGAATAATGAACAAAATCCGAATGAACCGTTCTTGTTCTTTTACCTATTTGTAGTTTTGCAATCATACTTTGAATTAATAAAAACAAACTGATTTTTTATGATTTTAAGCTGAAGAAGATAAGTTTGTTTTTGATTGTTTTCATGGTTTCATGAATGTATGGTTATTCAATGTGCATCGTTTGATCAATATTTTATGATGCAATGAAGCTTTTTTATGTCCTCAAATTCTTTTGAAACTTAACTTGAATACGAGTTCTAATAGCATTTACTATAGAAACCTTGTTTAACCACAGAATTTGTCTGCAAAAGCCTTCATAACTAAGTTTTACTCAGTTTCAAAATTTGAAAAACAGGACTATAGGAACAGTCACTGTCACACCGATTCTGATGAAAAGTTTTTGTTATTCATCTTTTTGTACCCACTTCGATCAAGAAAATGAAAATAGTTTAAAAAAGAATATACGTTCCCTTACCAGAAAATAATCTACCCTGTCTTTCTTTACCAATTGGTCTGGTTTCTTATGACTTCTCTGCCTCAATTTTCAATTGAGGCACAAGTGTATTCTGACATTACTATTTCGGAGTGTTAAGATTTGCTCCCATCATATGTAGGAGAATACTTCATTAATCACTCGCACAATCGATTTTCTTATTTTAACAAATCACACATATCACTTACGCTCCTCGGCTTCTTCCGATTACTATTAAGAATTTCTTTTTCACCTTGAAATACAAATGCTACAAATATCAAAGATATTTCTTTCATAGTTTTACTCAAACTCTTAACAGATACTGAAGACATGAAGATTTTATTCATGGGACTATGATCTATGAATCATAACAAAGCTCTGTGCACAATTTGGTTGTCGATTCTCGTATACATTCTATTCTACAAAATAATTGTACGTCCTTCATGCAAAAATAATTGCACAGGTAAATTACGAATAAAAAGAAAGTCATTCAATGCAATGAATCAATACGAACTTTTTTCAAGAGTCCCTACTCACTTATATTTTGATATTCAAGCCGCTGAAAGAATCATTTGAATAAAATATTCTGACTTCTTCGCTTATATTTCTCATAATGGAAGAAAATCTGTTGTGTCTTTGCCTTTGTACAAGACAATCAGCAAAAAATAAGTATAAAAAGATTTCATCATACATATAATAATATAATCGTGAATCCAAGACTCGATTAATTCGATTATTAGTCACGTAAAGTACTAAACCTAATTGAAAATTTCAATTATGCATCGATCAAGATGATTCGATAGCACTGTATAAGTATTTGGCTGAGTGCAATGGATTAACGTAAAATATTGCAATAGTATTGTGAAAGCATTCCATTTCAACAGACTTTGTATTGAAAATCATTCCAATATCAAATCTTCTTTCTCCATGAAGGAAATGCATTCATCACATAAAATATACCGACAAAGAATGCGATAGAGATTTGCAAAGTATTATATAAAATCAATCATACGTCTTCTGGTTATTTCGAAAGCGGATTAATTTGTGCAAATCTGTTTTGGTATGATAAATTTTCGGATTGTTTCTCACTTCTATCAAGAGAAACTCCCATATTCTCAATCCCCATCCTATTCTCTGACGAATCATTGTTTGACTAAGTACTACATAAACTCATTCTATTGATGAATTCGAGTGATCCTTTGCTAATGAAATCTGAAGATAGATTTTTCGAAACATAGATATTACTCAATCTTGTACATGGCGTTAATAATTAGTGTTTGTTCTGGAGATTGTCAACCTCATACAGAAAGTTTCATAAGACAACTGAAGAAATTTCTCGAAATACATTTGTTTTGTATTTCAATTTTTCCATTTCACCTGAGTCATCTTATGCAAACATAGGCTGAGTAATTTGTGTAAGTATCATACTTTTCTTCAATATGAATTCTTCTTACAGCAGTATTACTCATAATGAAGTAAAGATTTTTATACAAGACAAGTTTTACACAGGGTGATATGAGTAAATATTTGTTTTGCATATACATATATATACATCAGTCATGATCGAAGCGACATACTTTACATCTTTTATTCTCTGTTTCAGGAATATCAAGTAACACTAATAATATCAATTAATATGGCCTCTGAATACCAGAATAATCAAGAAAAATCGACTGATGTTTCCACTGAAAATGATCGATTAGTATACCAGCAACAATTCACTACTCATTTGGACGAATTGAACAAATGTACACGAAATGAAGAATTTTGACGAGTAGTGTCACATATCCAAGATTTTGGAGATGCCACCACATCTCCCGTGGGAGATGCCGCGTCTCCAGCTGGAGACGCGACACCCACACTCGAGAGATGTGGTCATTCACCACTAGAGATGTAAGATCTCCTTTAGAGATGCGCATCCCCCACACCCACACCCGCATCTCTCGCGCGAGATGCGGCATCTCCCGCGGGAGACGTGGTAGCATCTCCAACATCTTGGATATGTGACACTGCTGATTATAATCGAAATTAATCAGAATTAATCAAAATTATGTATGAAATTTTGATTTTTTTGATTATTTTTGATTAAAAATCGATTAAAAGGTGTATGATTTTAATCGATTTTTAATCATTTTTCAATCGATTTTAATCTGATTTTACCCCTAATTTTTTTTACATGGGTTGTGAGATGCATCAATTTGATTCGCACATTTGGATCATTATTGATTAAAAAAGATATAAGTAATTCGAAAAATGCATCGAAATATAAAAGAAATAAATTTAAATCGTATCGTAGTACAGAAGTGCTGATTAATTGCCATAGATTAAAATGACAAATGTAGACTGATGCATGATGAATCGTCAAATATTTTTAAAATCGTTTAGATAATTTTCTCCTGTTGATCTTAATGCTTATTTTTCGTACGAGAGTGCTCCGATAAAGACGTTTCTTTTCTCTTCTGTTAGTTTTTTCATCTTTCAACAAAATGCACTTGTTTTTAATTTCTTTTTATTCTTTTTCTCTTTTTCTATTGAAAAACTGAATTGCTTTATTTGATTTTTTTCTCTTGCTACTTCTCGTTTGCTCTTGCCATCATAAATATGCATGATGTACAATCGGGTAGAGTTGACGTTTTTCTCGTCACGATTAATCAATGAGAAAAATCTCCATTATCAACATATAACGCACATTTCGAGTCGAACGGCAGCATTTTAACAAAAAAAGCTTTACATTGTTCTGCATGAGGCGAGAAACTAAACAAACATTAATAACGTTTTCGAAATGGAAAGAAAGCAAGTCATTTTTATGGAATAAATCTCATCAATGTTTATCTATTCTTCACCCTAGAATCGAACTATGACAACGAAAGATATCCAATTTATTTTTTTCGGACTTTTTAAAACAACTCCGTATGTAGGTCTCAATGAGCTCCCGAATGTGGTTATCTGTACGACGATTGATCAAATACGTGCAATCCTCGAAATGCGGATACCTTATCACAATATTTTAGTTTGTTCGGCAGGTTCTATTGAACAACTGGAAAACTTTTTTAACCATGAGTCCATTCGTCGAATTTTCATTTATGGAAGTGACGTCAAGGACTTGACTCTGAACGACAAGATAGAAGTTTTTAGCGATGAAAAGATGACATTATGTTCTCTTTTCGCTGAAGCCCTAGA